CCCATAGGATTAGAGTAGGACTGGATTTGGGGTCTGCTGTGGCTATTGTGAGAGTCACCTTTTAGGTACTAGGAAGGAATTTTCCCCTCACTGCCAGATTGGCTGGCATGAGGTAGAGTTTTTGGTTTTGTTTTGGGTTTTTTTTGGTGGTTGTTGTTGTTGTTGGGTTTTTTTTGCCTTCACAGCAGCCAAGGAAGATGGTGGGGTAGATTAGGAAGAAAAGTTCAAGTAGTTGCAACTTGGGAGGTGTCCAGTGCAGATACTCAATCAGTGGTGAGGCCAGTTCCCAGGTAAACCAGAACTGGAAGTGGAATAAGGGAGCAGATATTCCTTACAGAAGCTGGGGAACAGGGTTGGGACTCCTAATGCCTGGTACAGTGAGTAGACAAGCCCCTTTCCACAGCCCCTTAAGACTACAAGAGAGTGGACGGTTGACTGCTGTGCTCCATCAGGTGGAACATTACAGACAGAGGAATACTGCCTAGTGAGCTGCAAAGGTTATCTTATTTACCAAAGGTGCTTAGAGAAGGGTTGGCCACACACACAGAGGAATCCAGGTTCCTTACTAGATGTATTATATTGGGCTAAAAATTACCAAAAGATCCTTTCCTAAATGTAATATCCATGGTTGAGATTTTTAAAGGGGCCAAGTGGAGTTAGGCACCCAAATCCCATTGAAAGTCTGTGGGAATTAGATATGTAATTCCCTTAGGCCCCTTTGGAAACTTCATACTGTAGTTCTATGATAGCACTGAGATTCTACTGCAGAAGCTTCTACTCAATTAATTAATATTTTTAATTTTTCCTACTGTTTGCATGCTCATAATGTGTATGTACATGGCTTTCTTTTCCACTTAGATTTGCTCTGCACTTTACACCGATTACAAGGGCCTCATTTGACTTACTCTGACAAACATATTGTTGAGACACTTAGTGCTGGCAAAAATTACTAGCACTTTCAACTCTTTCATTGCATCAACTAATTATTTTTATCACCAGGCACCTTCCTACTGGTAAGAGGTCATCTGGCCTGAATGGGACTGGCCAGATTTCTGAGCTTATTAGCCTCTGAAGTTTATGTTGTGATAGAAGTTACTTTCTCCAAAGCCCTATTAATCTAGGCACAATAAGAAAAATACAGCAAGATTATACAGAATCAGCCAGATTTCACTGAAAATACACAGTATAAAAAAATTCAGTATTTAGATTTTCTGCTTTTAAAAAATGGAATAAAATGTCTACAGAGGTTTTAAAGCTCTTTATGCAAAACTTTATCCTAAGTACCAGTACATGATACCAAAGGTCATACTCTGCTCTCACCCCACCACCAGCCCCGGATACATGAAGTACCTTCTTTAGTAGAAAGAAAAGGAGTACTTGTGGCACTTTAGAGACTAACAAATGTATTTGAGCATAAGCTTTCATGAGCTACAGCTCACTTCTTCGGATGCATGCAGTAGAAAATACAGTGGGGAGATTTTATATACACAGAGAACATGAAACAATGGGTGTTACTATACATGCTGTAAGGAGAGTGATCAGGTAAGGTGAGCTATTACCAGCAGGAGAGGAAAAAAAACCTTTTGTGGTGATAATCAAGGTGGGCCATTTCCAGCAGTTAACAAGAACCTGTGAGGAACAGTGGGGGTGGGGAATAAACGTGGGGAAATAGTTTTACTTTGTGTAATGACACATCCACTCCCAGTTTTTATTCAAGCCTAAGTTGATTGTGTCCAGTTTGCAAATTAATTCTAATTCAGCAGTCTCTCGTTGGAGTCTGTGTTTAGTAGCACACACAACAAAAGAGAAAAACAATGAGGAACTCTGCCTCTTTCTCCTTTGAACTCAGTATTATTAGAAAAAAGTATGGATTTTCTACAAAATTAGCTTATCTTTCCTACTTAGTTTGAGTATTTTATGATAGGCCAAATATACCCATTAGAACTCATTATTTGCTCTATTACTATTGTCTTGCAATAAATTGTTAATAGATACATCATTCATTTTTCCTGCCTGAACTTTGTCTTTTCTCAGTTGCACTCTTGTTAGGGAACAATTATAGTTTCAAAGACGAATTGCTAGCATGATTTAAGCACTGTTTTTTCCTTTAAATAGAGTTCATACTACCTGCTTCTTTATGTATATTTAACACCTTGCCTATAGTTTGTGTCCGCATACTGTTACTGCCTAATATTTCTATCATGTTCCAAGTCAGGAGTTCAAATAACCTATGTAAATACAGGTATATTACTACAATAATAGGGTGTTTTACTGAGAAAATTAAAACAGTTTATCATCATCACCATTGAAGATGAAATGATCTCTGTTTCTACTATAAACTATGTTCCTGTAAACTGGGAAAGTAACTACCTGCTTTCTTTATTCTTATGAATCCTTTTTTTTAACCAGAAACTTAAACTAATGCTAGATTTTGTGTGTGTTTATATGCATGCACACACTTCATTTAACGGCTTTACAGTAATACACTGTGGCCCCAAACTCCAGTGCAACAAAAGTTCAGCTATGTGTTGGATTGTGTCAAAAAATTCTTTGCCCTGGTTTGGTAGAGAACAAGCAATGTTAATCTAGTACTAGAATTGCATTAACATTTTATATTTGTACAGTATCTTCCATCTGAGGCTATCAGTGCAATGCGACACAATGCCGCTTCCCAAGCAGATTTTCTTCTTCTGGCTTCTGTGGGAGTCGTCATCCCAGCCCCTGAACACCGGGTTATGTCCAGTCCAAATGAAGCTTGCAGAAACTGGATAGTGAAAAATTCACACCCTTTCGTTCTATAAAAGCACTACTCTCTCCATATCCTTATGTCCTGTCTTTCAGGTAGCTGTAGTTGCAGGACGTATTCTGCATTAAGAATGATCGACTGGCAGTCTCCTCCAAGTGATCATCACCCAAGATTCCAAGTTTGGCGTGAACTCCAGTAGTCAGGTAGGATTACTACTCCCCAACCATTAGGCTGACCCAACTGGAGTGATTCTAATAAATGAGAGCTTGAGCCTGTCATAAATATAAAGGGAAGGGTAAACCCCTTTGAAATCCCTCCTGGCCAGGAGAAAGCTCCTCTCACCTATAAAGGGTTAAGAAGCTAAAGGTAACCTCGCTGGCACCTGACCAAAATGACCAATGAGGAGACAAGATACTTTCAAAAGCTGGGAGGAGGGAGAGAAACAAAGGGTCTGTGTGTCTGTCTATATGCTGGTCTTTACCGGGGATAGACCAGGAATGGAGTCTTAGAACTTTTAGTAAGTAATCTAGCTAGGTATGTGTTAGATTATGATTTCTTTAAATGGCTGAGAAAGGAATTGTGCTGAATAGAATAACTATTTCTGTCTGTGTATCTTTTTTGTAACTTAAGGTTTTGCCTAGAGGGGTTCTCTATGTTTTTGAATCTAATTACCCTATAAGATATCTACCATCCTGATTTTACAGGGGGGATTTCTTTATTTCTATTTACTTCTATTTTTATTAAAAGTCTTCTTGTAAGAAAACTGAATGCTTTTTCATTGTTCTCAGATCCAAGGGTTTGGGTCTGTGGTCACCTATGCAAATTGGTGAGGCTTTTTATCCAACATTTCCCAGGAAAGGGGGGGTGCAAGTGTTGGGAGGATTGTTCATTGTTCTTAAGATCCAAGGGTCTGGGTCTGTAGTCACCTAGGCAAATTGGTGAGGCTTTTTACCAAACCTTGTCCAGGAAGTGGGGTGCAAGGTTTTGGGAAGTATTTTGGGGGGAAAGACGCGTCCAAACAGCTCTTCCCCAGTAACCAGTATTAGTTTGGTGGTGGTAGCGGCCAATCCAAGGACAAAGGGTGGAATATTTTGTACCTTGGGGAAGTTTTGACCTAAGCTGGTAAAGATAAGCTTAGGAGGTTTTTCATGCAGGTCCCCACATCTGTACCCTAGAGTTCAGAGTGGGGGAGGAACCTTGACAGAGCCACAACAGTCTGATCCAGATAAGAACTTTCCTAAAGTTCCAAGTTATTTGGGTACACAGTTTTGGTTGATTCTGTGTTAGAGACTGGCAACAAGGAGCATTTATTTATTTATGCATAAATGCATTTTTTCTGAGGGGCTCATCTCCATAGGATCTGAGCACCTCACAAACATTAAGGCACCAGATTCTAAAACTCCCTCATGTTTAGGAGTACCTTACTCGTCCACCCTCCTTCAAAGACCTTCCTGTGACAGTGTGTCCTCTGTGAGGAAGACTACACCAAGTTTCTCCCAGATGTCTCCACACTGCTCCTTCTGTTGTTAGATTGTGCAAGAGTACTCCCAGCCACTGCTGGTACGGGATGAGAGACTCAAACTTAGATCCTTGTGTGGCTGGCCCAGAGTAGAACTTTTTAAATTGACCATCAGAGCTGGTTAAATAGGGTTCAATTAATGGACTGCTTTTCTCCAAAATAGCAAGAAGCTCAACATGAGTAAGGATACTTTGAAGAAAATTATGTGGGTGTATGCAAACCAGGATTTCTGGAAAAACTATCTTGTATATAAAAAAAAGTTTCAGTTATACTGTATTAAAATGTATATTATTAACTTTTTTGTTTTTTCTTTTCCCCCCAATTTTCCCATTTGTTTTTTTTATTTTATTTTATTTTTTAACCTGATTTCATCCCGGTTTTAATGTTTGGAAAATAACCACTGAAAAATTCCCAGATTTTCAGTTTTTATTTGTAAAAAAAAAAAAAAAAAAAAAAGCGGAACACTACTGATACAGCGAAGTGTATGCTTAACTTTCAGTATTCACTTTACTCATCATGGACGTCAGTGAGACTTAATCATCTGCTTAAAATGAAGCAGGTGTTTATGTGCTGTGCTGAATAGGAATGAACTTAAATGCTTTGCATTGGGTCTTAAATGTTCACTGTTCTCAGCACTATGTATACTCCATAGTCACAGAGTTTTCAGTTTTAATGGTGTCATTTTAAGCTTCACGGAACTTTGTAGGTTTTTAGTTCAGATGTGCTTACTTGCAAATGCAATGTGTCAGAGTAAAGTCCATGAGTCCAAGAACACACAATGAAATCATGAAGATACACTTTTGCTGGCCTTCCAGTTTTGACATAGGGCTGAGCTGTTCATCTGGACTTCAGCAGCAGGCAAAGTACAGTTCCAAAGAATTAGCTCACTGATTTGTGCTCAGCTATTTCTTTCTCAGGTTTCACTTGAAACGAGAGGTAAGCTGTCTGCCGAGTACTCTTTTATTTAGTTGTTTTCTTAATAATTTATAATGCAGAGTTTTCTCTTAGATTTGACTAGGCCAGTAACAGTTACTAATCTAGGAGTCAGATAACCCAGGGAGAAGGGCAAAATGTGACTATGAAAAAGTCTTTATTTAACATATTGAATTCTGACTGCAAGATACACCTTGTGGTTTTATTTAGGGAAAGCCTGGTTGAAGGGGAGCCCTTTTTGCTTTGTTTATTCAAGCCCCAAATCCACAGGTTGGTTTTCTTCACCTGACCTCAGCCTGCCTAGGGTGACCAGACGTCCCGATCTTCTAGGGACAGTCCCGATATTTGGGGCTTTTTCTTATATGGGCACCTATTACCCCCCACACTCTGTCCCGGTTTTTCATACTTGCTGTCTGGTCACCCTAAGCTTACCTGACATGTCCCTTGCAGCCACAGGTGGAAGTTTATACAAATATTATAGTCCAAATGTGCTAAGTGAGCTCAGCAGTTAGTACACCATGCTATCTAACACTGCTTCATGCATAGACAGCAAGTGGAGCTGGTGTTTTGTATGTGCTAGCTCTTCCTTCTGTCCCCTCGTGCCAGTACAGATCAGGTTCAGGGAATACCAAGCATCAGATCTGATAAATGTGAAACATGCTTTTAAATTTAAACTTTGTCATTACATTATTTTCTGTCTGTTTTTATCACCCGCAAAATTGTGTTATGTCGCATTGAATGATATGGTGTAAAGGAACGAGACGAGTTGTATTCTAAGTGATGGGCCACAGTGCTACACATCATAAAAATGATCTGTCAGAAATGCAATGTGACACACTGAGAGAGCAGGGAATGTGAGAGGCGAAAAGCCTGTTTTGGCACAGACTGGCTCTGTTGAAAGCAGGTGTTTCGGTTTTGCCTTCAAGAGTTTTTTTCTGCAAGTAAAAAATCATTTAATTTTAAATGTCAGTCTGTGTTATGTTTTCAGTGTGTATCTCTGCAGAGGGATCGACTCAGAAGAAAGATGAATTTGAAAAGTTCAGTGGGATTTATTCTGCTGTTACTCTTTAAATGTGCGGCGTGGACAAGTGCTGAAGAAGCTGTGGTGCTTGCTAATGCCCACCTTCTCTCTCCAGGAGGCTACCAGAGACTGAGTAACAACAATGAGAAAGGTACTCAGCAAGAGAGGGAGTGGCAGGGATGTATGCACTATTTTACTTTATAGCCTTTACTATCTTTTTTTTCTATGGCACTCACTACAATAGTCTTTGAGTACTTCACAAACATTGATAGGCATCTGAAGGTCAAAGACTGTATTTAGTAATAAATGTTCATATTACTAGTTAGAACTTCTATAATGCCTCTTATTCACAGATCTTGAAATATATTAAAAGTCTAAAACCACTTTACTCACAAAGGATTTTAGTCCCTATCTCTTCCCAGAATGTGTTTTCTTCCAAACGCCTTCTTGGTGTTCAGTTCTTTAGTGTCCCTCTGGTCTGCTGATGGTTTCAATTCTGACAGGCTTCAGTGTATTAATTGATCTTTCCCCGAGGAAAGGAAAGACCATAGACGTTTGGTCAGTGGAAGGTCTGTTAGGGACTTAAGGAAAGAAACCTGGGGCCCAGATGCTGTGAATTATGTCATCATCTCAGAACACTATGCAACAGCAGGTGGAGGACTCTTGATAATCTGGAACTAGAGTTTACCGGAAACCAAATTCTCCTTGTTGGAAAAAGGAAATGCTTTGTGGGAAAAGCCATCCTTGTGAAGTACTCATATTTTGGGTTCACAAAGACATCCTTTTGTTTTGTTCTAGAGAGTTGGGCAAAGGGGGGTCTTTTCTGAACTCTCACTTTGACTATTTAGCTGTAGGCAGATTTTTCCTGTTTGGTGTTTGATAAGTCTTTGGAAAACATGGCTCACCTGAACTATCTCAGGAGCAGAGTTCTCCTTTTCATAATAACCAATTAAGTTCAATACACCGCACGCTAATTCCTATCAGTCTGTCAAAACTCTACAGTAAGCACCAACTGAGGACTGAAAACCCCAGTTCTGCAGTAGTCTGTTATTGGTGCTCTGTAGGTATTTTTCACAAACATTGTCAAAGTATCTCACTGAATATAATATAAATAGCATTTAATGTAACTGGGTTCCTTTCAACTCTGTTCAGAGAATAATAGTATATCTGTGAAGTACTGTCTATTTTAGTTCATGTCTGAGTCTCTGATTAATGGAATAGATACTAAATATTATCCTTCCCTACAAAAGAGGAATTGCTGAGATGTATAAGCATGCTTTTTAGCTCAAAAACCAGACATTGTGGGTTAGTCTCAGAGCTGCTTGAAATCAGCCTGAGTGTCACCAAAGGTTCCTTTGTTGCCTTAATAGAGCCTTATCAGTGATTTACTTAAAACTTATTCAGAAAGGGTGAAATTCACCGCTCTGCAGAGGGCCAGCCCAAAGTTTATGTGCCACTTTTATCTCACCTAAGCCCTTGGCAGCATACAAGTCCCGCTTCAGCCCATAGATTTTCATATTTACAGTGAAGTGAAAAGAAATAAAAGGAGTTCTTGTGGCACCTTAGAGACTAAACAATTTATTTGAGCATGAGCTTTCGTGAGCTACAGCTCACTTCATCAGATGTATACCGTGGAAACTGCAGCAGACTTTATATACACACAGAGAATATGAAACAATACCTCCTCCCACCCCACTGTCCTGCTGGTAATAGCTTATCTAAAGTGATCAACAGGTGGGCCATTTCCAGCACAAATCCAGGTTTTCTCACCCTCCACCCCCCCCCCCCACACACAAATTCACTCTCCTGCTGGTGCTAGCCCATCCAAAGTGACAACTCTTTACATAATCAAGTCGGGCTATTTCCTGCATAGATCCAGGTTTTCTCACATCCCCCCCACCCCCATACACACACAAACTCACTCTCCTGCTGGTAATAGCTCATCTAAACTGACCACTCTCCAAGTTTAAATCCAAGTTAAACCAGAACATCTCGGGGGGGTGGGAAAAGCTCATGCTCAAATAAATTGGTTAGTCTCTAAGGTGCCACAAGAACTCCTTTTCTTTTTGCGAATACAGACTAACACGGCTGTTCCTCTGAAACCTGAAAAGAAATAGTTTTTTCATCTATTTTCCTGTTATCTATGTTAAATATTTTGTTAGCTCCCCTCGGATCTGTATCTATAAAATACTGGGAACAAATGGCCACACCCGGATGTAGTTCCATGAATACAACACCAACTAAAATCAATTAACCAAAATCAGTGTCAAGATCTAGCCATTTATAAATGAAATAATCTGTTTCTAAAGTGAAAAGAAAAGGAGTACTTGTGGCATAAGTACTTGTGGCATGCTCAAATTTATTTGAGCATAAGCTTTCGTGAGCTACAGCTCACTTCATCGGATGCATGCTCAAATAAATTTGTTAGTCTCTAAGGTGCCACAAGTCCTTCTTTTCTTTTTGCAAATACAGACTAACACAGCTGCTACTCTGAAACCTGTTTCTAAAGTGAATTTCTAGGTTTGCCACTTTCTTCTATACGTCTGCATTTGTGAAAGTTGTGCAAATATTCCCTTCATAAACCAACACTGGACATAATCATTAGAATTTAATATAAATTACCTTTTTTGCCAATTCTACATGTATTCCTATCAGTAAAATAGGATTGCATTCCTGCTATAGAGTTTGGGTAATGATTATATTATAGAGGGGAGATTTTCAGAGACCCAAAGGGTAGCTAAGTACCATACAGTCATTGAAAGACAATGGGAGTTGGGCAAGTAATTTCTTTTTTTGCCTTTGAAAATCTCCCTCACGATCTTACGGGAACATTCTGTCCTGACCATCTGCTGTACGACTTCCATTGATTTTAGTGGGTGTCCCATGTATGGACTGAAGTCAGTATGTGGCCATACTATGTCCTTGTCAAATACCGTTAGGACAATAATTCATTCATTCTGAGGTTAAAAGTACAGAATTTTGAGAGGTTTACAAGTTGAGCAGAGTAAAATGTTAAACATACTTTTCTTTCCCGCCCCTACAGAATATGCAAGGGATTGTTATGAGATTTTTCAGCACTCTGAAGGAAGCGCCAAGGATGGTCTTTATGTCATTCAGCCAATGAAAGATCCTATTGTTGCTTACTGTAATATGGAAGATGGTGGGTGGACGGTAATTCAACACATTACAGCCAATAGCACTGTGGACTTTGATAGGATATGGCATGACTACAAGTATGGATTTGGCTCAGTTCATGACAACTACTGGTTAGGGAATGAATATGTGTATCAGTTAACTAACACGTCAAGGCCATATACACTTAGGGTCAAACTCGTAGACCTAAATGCCGAAATCAAATGGGGAGAGTATGAACCATTCAAAATTGAAGATGAAGAGTCTCAATACAGGATCAGGCTTGGCCTATACAAAGGCAATGCTGCTGATGCCCTGACCCAGGATACAGAAGCATATCTCCATGATAATCAGAAGTTCACTACAAAAGACAGAGACAATGATAACTATTTTCAGAATTGTGCCAAACTAGAGTACAATGGCATTCCAGGTGGAGGGTGGTGGTATGATGCTTGCGCTGGAGCAAATCTAAACCGCAGGAATGTTATATACTGGCAAAAAGACTGCAATAAGGAACATTTGTGCAAGTTTGCCTGGATGATGGTCAAGCCCACTGACAATGGCCAGTGTCCTAACAAGGCTTGTCGTTGTGAAAAAGATGAATTGTAGATAATATTACTACATTATGAGGTGAGACAATAAAATCAGCTTCCAAAACTCTCTTTTCAAATGTTTTCTTGATCTCCTGAGTGGACTCCATTGGTTCAATTTTTTTCTAGTCTATAGCATAATTACTTTCTGTGATTATTTCTTCTAGAAACTCTGAAACTAATTTCAAAGTAAAGATGAGCTCATGCTACAAAATTCAGGGACAGACTTTGAACATTCCTAAGTTTTTCCCAGGGTTTTGGTTCCACTTATAGCAGAGTTAAAGTCAGGTGACAATTTCAGATCTGGATTCAGATCCTGAATCTCTTCCAAAGTTCAGGGACATTTAGATCGGGGTGGGGGTGGGAGTGGGGGGTGGTAAATTCTTCTCTCTAATTCAGACATCAGCTGATTAGATGTACTCATTTTGGACTCTTCTGGTACCAAATAATAAATGCACTAATAAGTATGAGCAATTATTTCAATGATCACCATTCACAGCACAGAGAGGGAAGAATAAATGATAGATCTGTGTGATATCCTGCCTGAAGACAAAGACTCAGGTTTAGTTAGTGTTTTGTTCCTTTTATTAATGATCTTGAGGAGAGAAGTAAACAGCAGATTCATTAATTCACGGATAGCCTATGTGAATCCTAGATTCATTTCGACAGGTTTCAGAGGAACAGCCGTGTTAGTCTGTATTCGCAAAAAGAAAAGGAGTACTTGTGGCACCTTAGAGACTAAATAATAAATAAATAAATTGGTTAGTCTCTAAGGTGCCACAAGTACTCCTTTTCTTTTTCCTAGATTCATTATGACTAAGGCTGTCAATTAATTGTAGTTAACTCACGCAATTAACTCAAAAAAAATTAATCGCAATTTAAAAAATTAATTGCACTTATAACAATAGAATACCAATTGAAATTTTTTAAATATTTTGGATGTTTTTCTACATTTTCAATATTGATTTCAATTACAACACAGAATACAAAGTGCACAGTGCTCACTGTATATTATTATTTTTATTACAAATATATGCACTGTAAAAATAATAAACAAAAGAAATAGTATTTTGCAATTCACCTCATACAAGTATTGAAGTGAAATCTCTTTATTGTGAAAGTGTAACTTACAAATGCAGATTTTTTTTGGTTATATAACTGCATTCAGAAACAAAACGGTGTAAAACTTTATAGCCTACAAGTCCACTCAGTCCTACTCCTTATTCTGCAGTCACTCAGACAAACAAGGTTAATGCTTTCTGCTTCTTATTTACAGTGTCACCTGAAAATGAGAGCAGGCATTCGCATTGCACTTTTGTAGCCGGCATTGCAAGGTATTTATGTGCAAGATATGCTAAACATTCATATACATCTTCATGCTTTGGCTACTATTCTAGAGGACATGCTTCCATACTGATGATGGGTTCCGCTTGATAACGATTTGATTTGACAAAACGCAAAGAAGATTCCAATGTGAGATTTCTAAAGATAGCTACAGCATTCGATCCAAGGTTTAAGAATCTGAAGTGCCTTCCAAAATCTGAGAGGGACGAGGTGTGAAGCATGCTTTTAGAAGTCTTAAAAGAGTAACACTCTGATGCAGAAACTACAGAACCCAAACCACCAAAAAAGAAAATCAGCCTTCTGCTGGTGGCATCTGACTCCGATGATGAAAATGAACATGTGCCAGTCCACACTGCTTTGGATCGTTATCAGGCAGAACCTATCATCAGCATGGAAGCATGTCCTCTGGAATGGTGGTTGAAGCATGTTGGGTCATATGAATTTTTAGCACATCTGGCACGTAAATATCTTTTAATGCCAGCTACAACAGTGCCATGTGAATGCCTGTTCTCACTTTCAGGTGACATTGTAAACATGAAGTAGGCAGCACTATCTCCTGAAAATTGTAACCAACCTTGTTTGTCTGAGTGATTGGCTAATCAAGAAATAGTGGACTTGTAAACTCTAAAATTTTACATTGTTTTATTTTTGAATGCAGTTTTTTTGTACATAATTCTACATTAGTAAGTTCAACTTTCATGATAAAGAGATTGCACTACAGTACTTGTATTAAGTGAACTGAAAAATACAATTTTGTTTTTTACTGTGCAAATATTTGTAATAAATAAATATAAAGTGAGCACTGTACACTTTGTATTCTGTGTTGTAATTGAAATTAATATATTTGAAAATGTAGTAAACATTCAAAAATATTTAAATAAATGGTATTCTGTTGTTTAACAGCGCGATTAATCTCATGATTAATCGCGATTCATTTTTTAAATTGCTTGACAGCCCTAATTGACATGAATCTGCTAAAGATCTTCCTACATATTCACAATTCAGTCCTGCCACTGTACAAGTTTCATGCTCAAAGAGCTTGCAAGATTGGGACTACAGCCATGACTGTCATCTACTAACCATGTATAGTACATCCAGTAATGGGACTAGAATCAGGCAGAAACGCAGGCCTCTACCAAGTGATTTAAAGAAACAGCTCAACTGCCTCGGCCATAAGAGAGGACTGATATGGAAATGTGCAGATCTGACATATTGTATCCAGTAGAGGGCGGCAACGTACATATATGTGAGTCAGAATATTTTCTTCTTATGTAAGTATTCATATTTGCATTTGACATATACATGATTGCTCATTTTCATGTGTCTTGCAAAGTCACCCACTGTGTGTGTGTGTGTGTGTGTGTGTGCATTCATATGCAGTTGCTGTGTTTACAAGATGCATATTGGTGATCACTGCATCGCAAAGGGCAGCATCAAGCCTTTGCTTTTCATCTGTAGTAAGAGATATTTCAATACATAAAACTGTGTCTTCCTAAATCTTACCTCACATGGCTTCTCTCCCCCGTTAGTTCTTTCCCCATTCCCTTTTTTATGAGCCCCAATAGGACTAAATATCCAACAAAGGGTATTTGTTTATTTTTAATAGACTAGCCAGAGTTAATGATCTTATCAGCCTTTCCATTAGAAAGTCCTATATTCTGGGTTTACAACACCTATAAAATTCTCTCCAGGATGAAACTTGGTGATCAGTTTTAAAAAATTGAAAACAAAATGGTAATTTTTGAGTTGTTGCAAAGCAATGCAAAAAAAAAAAAAAACAACAAACCTTTACACTGTTACACTGTTACCTATATTTCTCTGTTTATTTCTGTGTTGTAGTCTTGCTTCATTTTTAAAATGAAATTTTGCAGGATATTATTCCATTATAAAGACAACGTTAAGGGTGTTGCTTCTCCCCTAATTCATGATATATTTCTAGCCTTTTCTTTTCTTCACATTACAGGAACTCCTCACTTAAAGTCGTCCCGGTTAACATTGTTTCATTGCTGATCAATTAGGGAACATGCTCATTTAAAGTTGTGCAATGCTCACTTATAACGTCCTTTGGCAGCCACCTGCTTTGTCCACTGCGTGCAGAAAGAGCAACCCGTTGGAGCGAGCTGGTGGGGGTTTGGAACCAGGATGGACCGGCAGCCCCCCTATCAGCTCCCTGCTCCCCTAAGTTCCCTGTGTGGCAGCCGCCCAGCAGGCTATCAATTGCCAGGTAGTTCAGCTGTCCCTCTCCCCACTACTGTGTGGGGAAGGGGGGTGCTAATGTCAGGGTGTCCCCCTTCCCCCCACACCTTTACTTCATCTCCACAGTGCAGGGGGGGGACACATGGCAGGGCTCAGGATAGAGGGAGCTTTCTGGCAGCAGCTGCTGTCTCAACTTGCTGATCTACTTAAAAAGGCAATGTACTTAGGGTGGGATCAGAGTATTTAAAGGGGCAATCCGCGTCTCTCTCTCTCACACACAGTGTGTGTCTCTGTCTCTCTCTGCCATGCTGTCTCCCCTCCCTCCATTTGTGCTGCCTTGTAGAGTGTGAGGCTACATTAACAACAATGTGTTAACCCTTGAGAGCTCAGCCGAGTGCTAGTTCATCATTTAGCAGCAAGACATTCCCTGGGAAATATCCCACCCTCTGACTTCACCACCTCAGTCAAGCTTCACAATCATCGTTGCTGTGTACAGTATTAAATTGTTTGTTTAAATCTTATACTGTGTATATGTGTGGCAGTCTTTTTTCTGGCGAAAAAGAATTCCCTGGAACCTAATCCCCCCATTTACATTAAGTCTTATGGGGAAATTGAATTCACTTAACATCGTTTCGCTTAAAGTAGCATTTTTCAGGAACATAACTAGAATGTTAAGCAAGGAGTTACTGTATTGTGATATGTGGATATCTGGAGACCATTTTTGTGGATCGCAGATGGATATGGATGCAAATTTTATCTCTAAAGCCCTGCAAATCTGTGGATATCCGCTTTATATCTGCAGATCATTTTTGCAGATCGCAGATGGGATGTGGATACAAATTTCATATCTGTGCAAAGCTCTAAGTATTAGCCTTATTTCACATTTGCTAGCTTTGGATGTCGTTACTCAACTTTGACATTATTTAAACACAGGCATTTTTCTTGTTATGAATATGAAATATAATGTTACTGAATGAATATGAAATATGATATGTCTATAGAAATTTGTTCATTAACAGTCATTAAACAATTTTTAAATTAATCACTTTAAAAAATATAAAGAAAATTATTTATCTTACATCAATCTGGAAAGTTCCTGTTTTCTTGTGCATATGAATAGATTTGTCTTTACTCAGTCCTACTCTGCATCACCAAAATATCTATTTGTTAGTTTTTATTATTGTTTTATGCAAGACATCAGTGTAATAATTAGAAGATCTTCTGTATTACTTTGGAGTTTTCCATTAAAGATGTTTACTCATTAGAGGTTGGCAACCTTCTGCTTTTCAATTTAAAATGGAATCTTTTCATGGAATTTCTTTAAAATGTTAGAAGTGTCACATACTTTCCATGCATATTAACGTAAAGAAAAGAAATTACAGCACCTTTCAGGAGGATCCATAGGGGATAATTAGAGAGATGAGAAATAGACTGTGAAATGAAGTAGCTAAGCAGTAAGAATTATTTTTCACCATGTAATGCAAAAGAGACCAGGAATTAAAAGCATAGGTGAGGTCTGCAGGAGAT